ATTGTTTTGTACTATTTTGGGGCTGGTTTTGCACCATAAACAACTTTGATTTTGAGGTTCTAAATGGTGGTTTAAGCCTTGTTTGGCTAGGGGGTGTTTCCTCCCTTTTGCTCATTGCCTTGTAAGGCCTTTTGAGCTATCTTTCAAACTTTTCAAACAACTTCTTTTTGCCCTTAAAACCAATGAATGCTAGAGGAATTGCAGTGGTAGAAAACTTGTTTTGAGGTCCCAAATAGGAAGGGGTGGCCTCCCACCCTTGTCTCTCCATGCTATGCCTAGTTAGCCTTGCAAAGTAACATGTTTTTGTGGCTTCTCTTAGCTTAGTTTGAGCATGTTTTTGGCTATATTTTAACATGTTTAAAATGTTTTTTTGGCTGGTTTGGCCACTCATTGCTTTCATCTTGCACTTGTAGTGTAAAATTGCTCACTAGCCTAACATGCTTAATGAATTAGACCTCCAGCATGTTTTTGCTCATATTTTAGCATGCTTTAACTCTGTTTTGAGTGGTCTTGGCCTTTTGAGGCTTGCTTTGTATAGCTATAGTAGAGTTGGCCTTTACTAGCTTTGTGATTTAAGGCTTCTAGCATGCTTTGCTTGGGTTGTTTGCATGCCATAGCATCATTTAGCATGTAATTTTAGAGCATATACCTCTGTCACACTCTCACATATATCACTCTTTCATTACTTTTGAGAGTTGTGCTTTGATGCCTTACTTGTGAGCCAATAAGTGAGCATGCTTTTCTTGCATTTTGTGCTTCAATTCCAACATGTTTAGGCCACTATTTTGGCATGATGTAGCTCTCTTTTGAGCTGGTTTGGTCATTTGAGCTTTGTATTGCATACCTCTAGTGTTGTGTCCTTCACTAGTTTCAATGCTTTTGACTCTTAACATATTGTGCATGGTTTGTTTGCATGATTTTAAGTCATTTAGCATGTCATTTCAGTGCTGAAATGTACGCCATTGCACTCCATGTTTCACTCTTTCATTTGCTTTGAAAGTGGTCTTGAGCCCCTTGTTGGCTTCAGCATGAAATTGAGGCATTCATGCCTAATGGTTTTAGCCTTCTCTTGAGGGTTTCTGCTAACCAAAAGCATGAGGGTTCTTTCGTACTCAAGGTGCTTGTGGCTTAGACCATCTTTTCAATTAGAGGACTTTTCACATTGGACTTAACTGGTTAAGGGACTAATTGGTAAGCTAAAATGTGTAAACAAGAATTGGACAAGTAAATCATGTCAAGATAAGCATGTTGCATGTTGCATTGCATTGTGTTCAATCGGACATTATATTGAACACAAGGTGAATTGGTTCATTTCATACTCAAAGTGATGAAAATGAGCCAATCCCCTTTGTCTCCATTGCCTTTGATCATTCATGATAAGGTTGTGGTCTTAGAGTCTTGTTTATTGTGCATTTATTGAATATGTGCAAGTTGGATCCTTGGCCATCATGCGTTGAGATGCTTGATTGATGGTTTTGGATCCAATGGTGTCTCTCCCTTGATGTTTTGAGATGATAAGGAGTGGCACAGTACAGACATGTTCTTGGGAGATCCTCCATTTTCCTCTATTTTGTGCTCTGTTGCAGCTTGGTGTCACAGCACACCAGTGGCCGACAGTGCCACAATGATGGCCGGCACCCGTGCATTGTTGGCCGGCAAGTGGCCGGCAGCAGCTCCTCATGGCAAGCAGGCCACTGGTGCACTCCCCAACATTGTTTTGGTAAGTTCCAGCAACAAGTTCTTGAAGACACCCTGCAAATAGAGCCTCTAAAGAGCAAACCAGAAGGTGTTTCAAGGCGGCAATCGAGAGCATGCATCCTTCATTGTCCAAGGCGGAGCTGAGGCAGCCTAGTTTACATGTTTTGCATACTTAGCATTGGTTTTGTAATTTAATTAATTAATTTATTAATTAGTTAAAGTTTTGTAATAATTAGTAAGTAATTTGCTAGTTATTCAATTGGTTTGTAATAATTAGTCTAATTAATTAGATTAGTTAGTTAGTTTAGCTTAGTGTAGCTTAGCTTATTTATTTGGACCCTCCTTTAAGAGGGCACAATGTTGTAATAAGTGTGCGTGTGTGTGTGCGTGTCTTCCAACCCCATTTCTTTCTCCCTTTTACTTAACCGCTTTTGATGGTTAGTTTTAGAGCATTTTTAAATTAGCATACCTTATGCTTGCATGTGTGCATCATCCATTTCTTTTGCATGCACCGGGCTCGGCGCATCATTCAAACTGCATTGTCTTTCAATATCTACTTGAATACGTGTTCCAAAACATGTTATCAAGTGTTGCATTCATATGCCATCTTAGGTAGCCGAGCCTAGTAGTTGTATTATTGCATGTGTTGCATTAGGCATCTTGTATAGCTAGGATCATGCATGATTTCTAACTAGTTTTCTGTTTTGGCTCGGAGTACACTGTAAATGTTTATGCTTTAGCATCCTTGCATGAGTGTGAGTGTTGCCATGATAGCATGCTTGCCATGAGGCTATTTGCTTAAGTGATTAACTGCATGAATGGCAGTGGGTGGAGGCTTGATTGCCTGAATTGGAACAACTCGATGATTGTGAGTTTTTTTTAAGCCCACTTTGCGAAGTGGCAAATCATCATGTTTTAAGCCCACTCGAGGGTGCCAAATCTGTGCTTTAGCCTACTTGCGAGTAGCATTTTCAAACCATTTTCAAAAACAAACATGAGTTGTTTTGTTCCAATTCTCGTGATCGAGTCTATGCTTGTATGCTGTGCGCATTACATAGTAAGTTAGATTAACAATCGGAATAAGAACGCATGTGTATATAAAAACAACGTATCATGTTTAGTAGAGGCCATCCTTTCATCGGACGAGCGGGGGTGCTCATTTCATGACCTTCTCCCCTCGTACCCAAGTTCCCGAGCTGAGGAAACTTTGGTGATGACGGACATGTGGCTTTAGGCACGAGTCAGGGTTTCCTAAATTTTCCAAAACAAAATATTTAGGTAGCGACTCTGAAATCTGGCAAAGCAGTCAATGTTTGGCGCTTTTTGATTAAAATTGATTTTCCAAAACGATTTGCCAGATTTGGACTCTTTGGTGATTTATCAGTCTTACATTGCACTTTGTGAGAATAGATTTAGAACCGTGAAAGGAGTCTGAACTGTCCTAGCACGGACCTAATTCACGTCCTCTCCGAAAAGGGGGGCGCGCGGAGCGAGTTCGGGCGGTCTACACCCTGTTGTGCCTCTATGACTTTGCTAGTCAATGTGGGTTGTGTAATCAAAGAAAACAAGATAGCACCCTCGCTAGACTGGCAAGATGCAAGTCATACTCGCCAATATCACGCAATATAACCCATTTTCGAATGGTCACACTCGCAATAGTACTCACAGACTTTCAACTAAGGGCATTAGCCTCAACATTGGCCTTCCCTAGATGGTAGTGCAACTCAAAATTGTAGTATTTCATAAACTCCATCTACCTACATTGGCGCAATTTCAAATATTTTTGGAAGAATAAGTATTTTAGGCTTTTGTGTCGGAATAGATATCAAACTTCTCATTATACAAATAGTGTCTCTAAATTTTCAAGGCAAAAATTACCGCTACTAGTTCTAAGTCATTGGTAGGGTAGTTTTTCTCATGGGTTTTCAATGGACGTGAGCCATAAGCCATAACCTTTCTCTCTTGTATCAACACACAACCAAGCCCATCCTGGGATGCATCATAATACACAGTATAACCCAAACCCCATTCCGAAATTATCAAAACTAGTGCGGTAGTCAATCTAATCTTAAGTTTTTAGAATGAATTTTCACAAGTCTCTTTCCATATAAACTTGACACCCTTTCTAGTCAACATTGTCAATGGTGTAGCTAGTCTAGAGAAGTCCCTTACGTATTTTTAAAATATTTTCATTATTTTAACCACTTATTAAACGGAACCTAAAGCTTTTTTTTGGGGAAAAATTAATATTTTAAAAAATCAACATATTCTCATTATTTGTTTCACATTTTTTTTAGATAAATTACAAACACATCTCCAAAATTTACTTAAATTACAAATTATCTTCTGTAGTTTTAGAAATTATATTATACCTCCTAAGGTTTATAATTTCATGACAAATAAGTCATTTTATTAATAAATTATCGAATTAATTAACAGTTTTTAATAATGTTAAAATTTTATTACAATTAATAATTTAGATAATTTTATTATTGTATGGGTGAACAGTTAGAAATTTACTTTTTAAATTAATTTTCTTAAATAAAAAATTCTAACAGAGAACTATTTGTAATTTTTCAAATTATATGGGGCGATTCGTATTTTAAGCAAACTTCATAAGATATATTTGTAATTTATCTTATTTTCTTTAATAAAATTATTAAAAAATCAATTCGTAAAGAGTGGTTTGAGAATTTATTATTTTAGTTATTTTTTGACTTTTTATAAAAAAAAAAATTGATAATTTATAATAACTTTGTAACTTTTAAATTAAAATAATCTACCCCTGAATAGGGCTAAATAAGTGGTTGTTTGGCATGTGTTAAAATAGCAAATGTTATTTTAGTACATTATCCTATTTAGGTCACAATTATCTATTTAAGTTATATCACTTCTTTATTACATCACTTCAAACCTAATCCATATTTCATATTTTTTTGTAAAAAATAAAAAGTATACTAATTTGGCATTTCCCAAACAACCCCTAAATATAAAATAAATTTTCTACAGGGTGCTATATGTACCAATTGATATGTTAATTAATGTACTAACATATATTATAATATTAACTTTAAAATTATAAATCCCATCTATTATACAAATTATAAAATTTTAAAATTTTAAAAATTATATCACATCGTCTATAAAGACATAATCAATCAGTTAGTGCATAGAGTTTTATTCATTTTGTATTCATCACGATGTGAACCTTTTAAAAATGAATCATATATTTTTGGGAAGTATTGTAAATTTTCTATTTTAGGCTTTTAATTTCTTTTATTTTCTCCGCTACGTAAAAATTTGATCAACTACTTTTTTTGAACCGGAACTCCTCTGACCACATTTCGCGGCCAAGTTCATTCTCCGAGAAAATGCATATAAATCAGCACAAACCCATTTACTAAATCCCAAATTCGCAGCTGGGTTCTTGGATTCAAGCACTATAGTCGAAGCTATGGCGGCAAACGGTTCCATTCAGAAGCCAGAGGAAGAATGGCGAGCAATTCTCTCTCCCGAGCAGTTCCGAATCCTTCGCCAGAAAGGAACAGAGTAAAAAAAAAAAAAACTCTCTTTTTTTCCCACACTTGTTTACTCTGAAATTTGTTGAGCCTTCAATTGCTATTCTAAAAGTTTCATATTACGAATTCTGTTTTAAACTTGTAGATAGATACATATGTCTCCTTGCATAATTGTCTTGAAATTTTGAAATGGTTTATTGTGAGATGGGTTTTGAGTTCAGAGTCTGAATGTTTTGAATCAAAATTGCTTTGGTTGTGAGTTTGTTCTGCTTGGATTGTTTTAGAATTTTTGAATGTTGACTTTGATATTTGCATTATGATGAACTAATTGACAAAATGCCAATAATTGGTGTAATGGGTAACGCTTAAAATCAGTTATCTGGGGCTGAAGAAGGGCAAAAAAAAAGAAAAGAAAAGAAAGGTCTTTTCTTTTTCTCTTTTTTGTGTCGAATATTTATTCCTCAAGAAATTCTTGCAAGAAATAGAATTAAGGAAACCTTAAAAAGATTGGGTATATTACACTTTACTTGCTCGAAATAAAAGAATACTCTTGTCATTAATATATGTTTCATCAATCAACTAAGGAAATTTGCACAGAACACCAAACATAAACAAAATATATAAAATATCCTATGTTTGCTGGCCTAATTGGTTCATTTGGCTTGAGCTTGTTCATTTAACAAACCAATTGAGTACAAATACTCAATCTGTTCATGAAAAATTTGATCCGTTTGCAGCCCTCTCTTTGACCTTTAATCGTGAGAACATCTATCTTCGCCTCTACTTGCTCATGGAATATGCTTCACATCTTCTATTTTTGTTTTCATTGAAATATGTTCATTGCATTTGATGATCAAAATGGTCTTTTATGGTAGGAAATATACTTGTGATGTGTCTGACCTATTTGTTTGCTCCCCTCCTTTCTCCAAAAGAAATAAAAAGAAACCGTTGCTGTGTAGATGAAACAATCAAGTGTCGAATTCCTTTGACTTCAATGGCATTCAATAGTTATCTCATCATAGTGAAGTTCATTTAACCTTTATGCATTTTTTGTGTGTATAACATAATGCTCAAGCATTCCTCGGTAGGGCAGATTTTGTTCATTCAAAAATTTTGCATTTACCACTTGCTATGATAATATTGAAATCAAACTGAAATTCCTGATATGAGGCATTCTTGTCTTGAGACGTTTTGAGAATTAGCTTTTTAGTGATTTTTCAGTTTTTATAAAAAGAAGTGCAAAAAAAAAAAAAAAAAAAAAAAAAAAAAAAAAAAAAAAAAAAAAAAAGAGCTACTTTTTTGTAGTGACTTTTTGACTTATTGGCTAAAATAGTGAGTTACCAAAATAGGTATGATTTATGTTTAAAAACTGAGATTTAGTGCATTCATGGACATAGACATGTACCAATTTATGTATATTTTTCTGCTAGGAGATTGCCATTGTTAACTTAAAACTGATTTATGTTTAAAAAATGGTAAGCAGCGAAACTAGTATTTTCCAATAAGTAAATTTCCATAGCTGACTTTAGACCCTAGTGAGTGATATGGTTTGTTGTAGTATGTATATAGGTTTTGATTTGTTACTATCCCTACAATTGTTGTTGTACAGGCCAAAAAGCACGGGGGAATATGACAAGTTCTTTAGAGATGGCATCTACAATTGCGCTGGTTGTGGGACGCCACTCTATAAATCTACCACCAAATTTAACTCTGGCTGTGGTTGGCCAGCTTTCTACGAGGGTCTCCCTGGAGCCATTAATCGCTTTGTAAGTCCCAATTTTCTATGTTATTGATCAATTCAAGGAACTACATTGTCACCAGTTTTTTAAAGTAAGACGTAATTTTTCAGCCCGACCCAGATGGGAGGAGAACAGAAATTACGTGTGCAGCCTGTGGCGGCCATTTAGGTCATGTTTTCAAAGGCGAGGGCTTTGCGACTCCCACAGATGAACGCCACTGTGTCAACAGTGTATCGATCAAGTTTCTCCCAGCTGAGACTTCAACTGCTTCCCAGTGACAATTAAAATGAAAGTTTTAGTGCAAGAACAGGCTGCTTTCGTTGTTGTTTTTATCATTTTTATTTTTTTTGTAGTAGTTTAGTGAAGTCTGCATGGTTTGTGGTAAGTAAGTGATGATTGCAAGCTTGTATGCTTTGTTTGTGAGTCTGAGTACTTGCTGTATAGTTTTCTGAGGAAGCAGAGGTCACTTCTAGAACTACAAAGTGAATTTTCTTAGGGTTTAAGATGTGCTTTTACTTTCATTGATCTCACAATGAAGCTTTTACGTAGTTATCTTCTTCTTCACCTGTTATGAGGTAACTAGAGATTTACATAGAAAACTTTGTCGCTTGTCAGCCATGAAACAAGTTCACGGGCACGATACACACAAAAAATATATAATTTTATGTAAATATAGAACCTTGTTAACTTTAATATAGTATAAAACTTAAATGGTGCTTTTAGGGAACTCATAAACAAAATTCTTATTTTGTGTAATATATTTAAATATTATTTATTTATTCTTATCAAATTTATTAACATTGGTACTGCTTTGTAAAAAAAAAAAATATAAATAAAATAAAGGAGACACGATACTTTTTCAACATGTCAATTGTGTGTCTCCAATTTGTCCGACTACCAAAAAAAAGAGGCTTCTTCTCATGTGTCTAACATGTGTTTGGTGTGTGTTCTTCTGACACGAGTATATGAGGTCTAAAGAGGGATTCATGTTTTTAAGTTAACGGTTCAACTCTCAGGTGAAAGTATTGTCTGTTATAGTTCAATTTTGACACAACTCAACAACTGTCTTGACGAGTTTTTTAAATAACTCATGTATACAATTTGAGCCAACTACCTTTCTTGGAATGGGAAATGGCTCGTGTTCCACGCCATCACTTCTATCTACTAATTTTTTTGGCTTCATTATGGCATTTTTAACTCTTTCCATCTATACTTTACATTGCCAAATGGATCCATACAAATATGAATCAATCTGGTCCATACAAATATGAATTAATTTTTTACCGTACTTAGATAATGTAGAAAAGGGATATAACATGATGAAGCTGCATTACAAAGCAATTTTTGAAAATTAAATTGCAGTCCCGGTTCTCATATTAAGTAAAGCTTGGTATTTTATACTAAGGTCTCGTTTGAGAATATGCTATTTTAGTAATTTTTTGACTTTTTGATTAAAATATGACGTAAAAAAAATTAGTATGTTTGGGGTGTCTTTTTGACTTTTTACGAAAAGATGTGCAAAAAGTAGAGAGAAAATGGAATCTTTGACTTTTTTGTATTATAGGCTTTTTGGCATTTTTAGTAACTTTTTGACTTTTTGATTAAAATATTAACTTGCCAAACGAGACCTAAGAATATGTGTCATCTCAAATTTAACAGTCTCGTTCTCAATTGTAATCTGGCCATTTCAAACATGGTTTTATAAATTTCAAACTCGTCAAATTGATATAATGTATAAGAACTATTAAAATGAATTTTGGCTTAATATTTTCAATTTTGGGTTGTTAAGGATTGTTTGTGTAACACCCAAAAATAATTCAGCATAAATTAAGTACTTCAACCAACATCTATTAATCAATAAGGTTTGTACAAAAGTCCCACATGTGAATTATACATTCAATGATATAGAAATACATAAATCTATAGCATGTCGAACATCAAATTCCAAAAAAAATAAATAAAATGCCCTTGAAGGCTTACATCTTCCAAGGCTTAATCTCGGTTACACAAAACGGTTTCACGAACCCATACATTTATAGCCCTTGGCTAGCAAAATAAATCACAACAAAAATAGAGTCATTTATTCTTCACAAAATATGTTAACGCCCTCAACTCAGTGGGATCACTACATTTTTTCCTGCACCAAAATCCCATAGGGGTGAGCATAAAGCCCAGGAGAGAATCCTTAACAAAGTATATATGTTTATGCAAAATTTTCAATATTAAATGCAAATGCCATGCAATGCCAATTAAAAGTGAATTTCATTTACATTCCTTTTAAAAAGTCACTATGTTCAACCATAGTTTGAAATCTCAACAATTTCAAAATTTACAATTTTATTCAATGGGGCGGTAAATACGACTCAGGTAATTCCTAAGTTGGTGTCTGCAAGTAGGCTTAACTAGTACTACCAAAAACCCCACTTTACCGGTTGCTAACTGGAAGGGAAGTGGTACCTCATTCGCGCGTGTTTTTGGTCTTTTACCCTGGACACTCAGGCCAACTTATCAATTCCATCTACACCCCCTATTCGAACTTACCAATGTATTTACCCCAAGGACATTACATAGTTCTCATTTCTCAACAATTCTTTTCTCAATGCAAAGTAATCAAATTCAAATCAAAACATGCAGTAACCAAAGAATTGTGTATGCAAGGAAACAATTGATAATGCTACAATATAAATTTCTTTCCATTCTTAAATATCTCAACAATAATCTCAAAATAAACAAGTTTTCATTCATCCGTTCCATACTATCTCACAATAGAATCATGTTTCCATTTGAATCCGTCAACAAATAACCACATCTCAAGCAATTCCAACAACATAGTCATTTCAAGACTATAGCAATATTTGAACATTTATCTTTCCAACACCAACAATTCCCATATTTTATGAGATTCATCATTTGTAACTATAAATAAGAATCTTTCCCTTTCTTAACTGATTTTGATATACAAAATGATACATTAATAATTTATTCCATGTGTTCTCACCACTTGTTTTGAAAACCCCCAAATTTCTAGGTTTGACTTCCCCCACCACAACACACACACCCAAACCTTAGAAAGAAGCTTGAAAAGAGGACATCATTCCTTAACCAAGGTTATTCAAACCCTCAAGAGGCTATTTAAAAGAAACATGGTTAAACCCACCTTTTTAAAAAAAAAAAACATAACATTCTTGAACCAAAATTAAAAACTTTCTTATTATCACCAAGAAGTTCCAAATTTAACATCAATCTAGCAAAAACGTATATATAACTCAAAGGAAACCTTGCCTCAAGTTCTTGTTGAAGAGATGAGATGAAACCCTAGAGCCAAATATGAAAATTTTTGATCTCCACCACACAAAGTGAAGTTCTAGCTTTGATCTCCAAAACTTGTGAGAGATGATGGATCTAGACCCAATGGATTGCAAGAAATCAAGGCTTTGTAGTGTTTGATGAGAGTTTTTAGAGAGAAGGAGGAGCAAAAGTGTTTTTAGAGTGAGAAGGAAGGGTTAGAAAGTGATACACACTTAGCCAAAATGAGAGAAAAAAAACAAAGTATTCGGACTCAGCCCGTCCCACACGTGAGACACTTGCCCCCGTACGTGCGGAGCCTGCTTTCCGCACGTGCGACTCTCACCCCCGCACGTGCGGCCTCCCAATCCGTACCACACCCCGCACGTACATATAATGAAGTGTGCAAGGCTCAAATTCGCCACTTCTCTGCACGTGCGGATCTTCTGCACGTGCGGCCCAAGGTGAAGCAGGTGCGGCCCTGATCCTCCAGCCTAGAAATTTTCTGGTTCGATTCAAGGCACTTCGGACCTGACCTCGCACTCTTCAAAACAAGTGAAATTTATCACCAGAATAAACACGAACCAAAACTTGTGGAAAAACTCCAGAACACATTAAACGCAAACGATTAACAAGTCCTAAGTTAAACTGATGTCCCAACGAAACAATTCCAAGGTTAAACAAGGGGAAAAAGGATGAATAGGACACCCGGTCATTACATTTTGATAACATTTATATTTATAATTTTTTTGAATATATTTACAACAATTTTAAAATTTGTAAACAAAAATTTGCTGGTGTTGGTACTAAAATGTTGAATTTGGCCTGTCGATAGAGGTGCTAACATGGCTCAAGTCTTTTGGCTGAGGTCCAAGTTGGATGTTTGCAAAGTGGACAGGTGTCTTCATACAGGAAGTGTGCAAGGCATGTGCCCAAACGAAGCAAGTAGTCGAAGGAGATAACAGTTACAGCGGATGGGGCAACTTCCTAATAAGCATACTTGCATGCAACAAGTAAAATGCTGATGTGGCTTAGATCTTTTGATTGAGGTCCAAGTTGGATGCTTGCAAAGTGGACAAGTGTCTTCGTGCAGGAAGTGTGCAAGGCATATGACCAAATGAAGCAAGTAGTCAAAGGAGGAAGCAACAGTGGGTGGGGCAATTTCCCAAGAAGCATACTTGCATGCAACAAGGAAAGGTATGTGGCTGTAGCAATTATGGCCAATGCAAATGAATAAAGGCTGGGAATTCGAAGAGAAAAGGACCTTCAAACATATTCACAAATTTGTGAAAGCTAGGAGTAACAATAATAGTAGCAATTAGCCAGCCTTAGGGGTAGTTCATTTGTAATTAGCTCTTAGTTTGTAATTTGTTACTTTGTTATGGTTCTGATTCTTGTGATCTATAATTAGTAACATTTTCAGTTATTTAATACAAGTTTTAGTTTGTTTCCGTCAGTCAATTGCCTCCAAAGAAGTACTTAAATCTGTCAAGATATTAGAACTCAACCACAAAGCTTGATTCTTTTTGTTGTTTTTGTGAATTTTTGGTTTTTCTATTGATTGACTTCTATTGATATTCCTTAAATCAAAAAATTACTAACAGTTGGATATTGATTTTCATTTTAAAAGATTTGTAAATAGTTTACAAAATTTACTAAATTTTTGGAACTACAAAAGTTAATGTCATTTGTTTAGATCATTATTATTTTTCCATTCATATCTCCTCCAACCCCGTATGGCCATCACCTACCGCTCATTACCACAACTGACCACCATATCTAGCCATTTTCACCGGCAACCTTCTCTAATAGCCATCTTTAGTCATCTACCTCCTACAAAAGCAACACCTTCAAGCACAACCTCTTGCCAAAAACCACATTCAGCAATGGACCATCATAAACTTGGCTAAAAAAATAGTCAAATTCAAAATCTTAGTTCAATCCGCTAATATTAGCCAAAATAATTATCTAAACAGTGAAAAAATTAAATTGAACCGGGCAAGATGAATGTTACCCTTAATTTAAACCCTAACTTGCTTGTGTTAACTGTATTGTTTTTATGTGGATTGAATAGCAAAAGTAAAGGGAAAATAATATAGTCATTTTAATTATCGTGTTAAAAAAGTTAACATATGCATGTACATTACACTTGAAATTATTGATTTCAAATAAATCGATTCAACATGACTCATATTAACTTTTAATTATATAACAAATTAATATAAAATAAATTTTTAGCTACAACAAGCGAGGCAGAAATGGAAAAGATCAAATATGAA